TCCCCGCTGCCGCAGGGCGGCGGAGGCAGCCCCGGGAGAGCGGGAGCCGGCGGGCCCGGCCTGGCTCGGCTCTGCCCCCGCCCGCCAGCGCCTCACCTGAGCCGCCCCCAGCGCTGCCGCCCCTCACATGCCGCCGCGGCCCCTCACACCCCTTTGTTGTCCTCCCTCCTCCCTCTCTGCTCCTTCTGCCGTCAAGCGACGCCGAGCGCCGGAAACCCGCCCGCTGCCGTAAAGGCGGCTGTCGTAACGTAACGTAACGCTCCGCTCCGCTCCCTCCTCCTCCCCGGCGGGCCGGGCCGGCCCGGGGCGAGAGGGGTGGCTTTTAAGCCTGGACCCCAGGCCCGGGGCTCCCGGCGGCGGCCGCCGGCGTGTGGGCCGGGCCGGGGCGACACCCCGACCCGGGGTGGAGGGGCTGCGGGGGTGCCCGCGCCCCGCTGGAGGGTGCCCGGGGCCGCCCTGAGGGGATGAGGGAGGCCCCGCGCCGGGACAGCGGCGGCCCTCCCCGGCGGGACCGCCGAGGAGCCAGCCTGTTCCCCTTACGCTGGGACCCCCCGCACCTCACACCGAGGGGGGGGGGGGGGGGTGGGGGGGCGGCACCCCTGGGCCCCGGCCGGGGGGGCCGGGCGGAGCGGTAGGAGGCGGCCCCGAAGGGGTCTCCGGCAGGTCCTGCGGAGGGGCCTGGCCTGCCAGCGGGTGCCCGAGCAGGCGAGCTCACCGCCTAGGCATGCGGCAGGCGATGAGGGAATTGCCACGGCGTTGGGCCGGGCTCTTACAGGTAATAATTTCTGACGCCTTGTGCAGAATTTAAGCTTTCACTTAGAACTTTTTTTTTTTGCGCACACGCAAAAAATCTTGGTAGGTTGCCAGGGACGGACAGTTTTAACCGCTTTTAAGAGGCTGTTCCCTTGAAGGCAGTATATAGTCCGAAGCCTGAGGACAGCAGTTAAGTGTCAGTACTGCTCAGAAGTCCGCTGTTTGCTTCTTTTAACAGAAGTGTCTGACCTCTCTGTGCTGTCCTTCTCTGGGTCGCTTTGGGCATCATTAGCTGTGTATAAAGGTATTCCCCAAGTAAGATATATACAGCTTAAAAAGATAAAGCAATGACTGGCTAGCAAAAAAGAACAAGCTTCTAACAAGTGGCTGGATTAGGCATTAGTATGGTCCCCATCCCCTGATAAAACACCTTAAGTCTGCTGGCCAAACAAGCATGAAGAAAAGGGTGGGCCTCCACTGCTACCTCAGTTTTATAACTTGTCATTCGCTGGGCTTTTTGATGTGGGTGACACTGGCAACCCACTGAAGATAACCGGGTTTTATTCATGTTAGGATTTTATAACTTTCCACATAGGTATTTTTCCTCTTGGATCCTTGTGCTACTAATAGTCCTTGTCTCAACAACCCTACCTCTACTTGTAATCTTACTTTTCTTGTCTTTCTACTCACACAGCTCTCACAATTTTACAGTTCCCTCAGAAGTCTGGGCCAAAGTCATGCAGCAAATCTTATCATCCAGGCTGGGCTTGCTCCTTGGCATGCAGGTAGCTGAGCCCCTCAAGAAGGGGGGTTAGTGACAGAGTGGGGTAAGGGTCTGCTTTTTGGTGGCTCAGTATCTTTTGATGACAAATGACATCATGGTATTAGGCTAAGTTGCTATTTTACCTTCACCTTTGCCTAGTGGTTGCAGCCACCAGCAAGGTTAAGAGTCTTCTTAGTGACAGTGCTCATATCTGCATCCAGCCTTGCCCTTGCTACCTTGGTGTAATGCTACTGTGTATCAAGGCCTTGAGCAATGTTATGTTTTCCACTGGCTAACAAGCCAGTGCTATTAATGAGCATTTGACAGTTTCATCAAAAAATTGTCAGTTCAAGATATCAGAAGGGTTTTAAAGTAGTGAGAATCTGTTTCTTGCTTAAGCTTATGCAAATCCAATTTTGCATATACAGACTGCAGAGGATTATATAACAGATTGAGAGAGAGACAGAAATAGGTTTCATTGATGTTAAATACTTGCTCTTCGGTGATAGCAATACTTTGTGTGATATTCCATACATACATTTGTCACATCTTGTTATGGGTATCGGTAATCCATTTAAAAAAAAAAAGTTCAGTAGTTTGTAATGACAATTGCTGAGCAGTTCCTGTTCCATCCATAGAGTGGTTCTGTGGCAAGTTATTTAATTCTTGCAGCAAAGCAAATCTTTTTTCCCATAAGAAGCTTATTGCCAAAAGATGAGGTGTTGCAACCTCACCAGAACTTAAAGTGTATACGTTTTTGCTGACTTAGCTTTCACGGAAGAATCAGTGTAGCATTCTCATTCAAATAACCAGCATATGAACCCCAGCACCACAAAAATCTGTCATTTTTTAATAATTAATCAGCAAACTAAAAATAAATGCATAAAATAATTTCTTCTTCTCCTCTGCTAATTTTAAAACAGACAAATGTCCTCATTCTTCTTGCAAACAAGGCAGTGTTAGTAATTATAGTAACCTTTTTTTTTTAATATTTATTGTTTGTGTACAGTAGTGCATCTGGTAGTGCCTCTGAGCCTCTGGCATTTGTTAGGGTGCTATTTCGGAATTGGATGAGAGGCTAACAGCTTCCTCTGAAACCTGAGAATTTTTGCTATGTTTTACAAGTATTTCAAGGTGAGAACTATTAAAAATACTCAGGTGTACCTTTGATATCATCTGTGTATTCACACTATCCTCAAAGATTTGTTCAAAGAGTTGAAGCAAAATGTCCTTTGTCCCAAAATTGCAAACAACGTGTAAATTTTTTAATTACTGGGGACATGCTACGATAGCATGTGCCTTATTTTCTGTAACTTATCCGATAATAAAAACATTCTTGAGCAATGACAGAACTCCAAATTGCTATTAATCCAATTTTTTAAATACCTAATGTAGTTTTCTATTCATGGTTGTATAATAGCTTGTTTCTATTTACTTCTGCTGAACATCTGACCTCAAAATAGAATTATTTTGCTGAACACCTGACCTGAAAGTGTAATTGTTTTGCTCACCCTTTTCAGTTAAATTTATCTTAGCTATGGCTAGATTTCTTTTAGTGGAATATTCTTACAGAATATCATTACAGTCCCCGCCTTGTTTTACAAAGTCTTTGGGAGAGGCACATTCCCGATTTAGACAGTTAAGTCTTTTCAGGATCAGACTCTGCTCCAGGCCTATTCTTGCATCACAGAAGTAAATGAATCTGGGATCGGGGCCCCTGCGTGTGGGTGCCTGTCATCCAGCAGTTTGTAAAAGGCGCTGCAGGGGTGCGAAGCGATACTCGGTGACGTATGGCCATATGTATGTGGGCTGGAGGGTACCCACACATACGCAATAATTTGTGTTTTTGTTTTGGCTCAGGAAACAAATGCCAGACACACCCTAATGACCAAGTGTTTGTGTACGCTGTTGGGTAGGAACACACCTAGGGCGCTTCAGAAAGCCTCCGCGTACCTCAGTCCCCTTCACATCGATCCTGCCTGGTGAGGGCATGGCAAGTAATTTATTGGCTGCGTCGAGCCGCAGCTCCGTCCCATTGTCTGTTCCCCCTGCGGATGCTTGCGGCTCCTTTTTTGGGATGATGACATCGTGCCC